TTAAAACCTGCAAGCAGTAAGGAGTGTGAAACGTTGCCAGTCTCCTACTGCGATGCGTGTTCTGAGGACTTATTGTGAATTTGCACTGAAATAACGGGGGCGCAAGAGGCCACCTAGGAATGGTAATACATACAATTTCAAGTCCAGAAATTCTTCCGGGATATGTCCACTCTCAAGGCTATAGGCTTGTTGTAAAGGGATTGCTACAGCTAAATCATGTGGATGTTTGGGAAGGACCGCGTGGCAAACGCCTGCTTCCTCCTGTATGTTTTCGCTTACTTGCTGTCAATGGCACGAAGAAGATAGAGGATATTATTTGGCAAGGATAACAGACCCATACCATCAACCCCCGACCCACTGTTTCACATCGTTTGACTAACGAATAACCTCACACCAGGAATTTCACGGCAAATGTCAGCATCGGAGCATAAAGTTTCGATGACGTTTTTATCCTTCGGCACGAGAGCCATTACCGCTCAGACAACTATTCGGTTGCGCTATCCACTACGAGACGTATCAGTTTCTTGGTGCCCCTCCTAGAGCGTGATTCTTACCTTCATTTTTCGATTCTAATTCAGCATAACCTTTACAATGTGCCGGGGTTCGGTCACTTAAATAGAATCCTGCTAGTACTGGAATTTGAATGGAAGATTCCACTGTAATCCGAAACTACGTGAAGGTTGAAAGCTAGTTTATTTTTGGAACAATAGAATGCCAATGGACGAAATGTCAAAGCCTGCAGATTGCTCGCTTGGTTGGTTCACTGGTTCAATTACTGGCGAATAGTCTGCTTCAAAATGTTATCTGCCACTAGCAGCGGAAAACTAAGCGGAACGCCGAGAAACTCATACAAAAAGGGGCCACAGTTTCATGGCACTGTAAGTACAAACGTGGCCGTCTTTTAGGTAAAGATACACCTGACGAAGTTAAAGATGGTTAGCAAGACCATAATTATCGGAACTACGGCTCACATATCGATGGTCTAGGGGTCTTTGGATTGTGTAAGGATATCAATTTTAGGTGCTTCTAGATACAAAAAACGAGATTCAACGACTTTAACCCTTAGTATTGAACGCAAACTAGAATCTGATTTAACGATATATTCTGACGAATGACCAGTTTATCGGCGAATTAATTAGGTTGCGCATGATCATAAAAATCGTCAATCACCATGAAAATTACGTGGATCTGGATATGGATACGCAAACCCAGTAAATCGAGAGGGCTTGGTTAGACAACAGGATTCCGATTTTTAAACAAAAATCATGGAATTCCATGGCATTTACGTCAGGAGCACCTGCCAGGGCACTGCTGACGTTTCGAACGGAGAGCAAGACAAGTTTGTAGCAATCATACGCGGCATTCAAGAAGCATCTGTTGCGTAATAGTTGTTATTTATTCCGAATTTAATTTTCGGAACATAGACGACATAATTTTACTTCAATTCTGATTTTGACCAATACGCAGTAGGAGTCACGCTATAGTTGAACACCGATGGTATAAATCACGCTATAGTGGAATGCCGATAGTAGAAATCACGTTATAGTAGGACACCGATAGTAGAAATCACGCTATAGTAGACTACCAATCGTAGAAATCACGCTATAGTAGTA